TTCCTGCTATAATGTGGTACAAGTTTCTTTTTATAAAAGGAGAGGTGAAGTGTTCTGCAAATTGTGAGCTAAATATAACAGGCTTCATGGAAAATGCGATTGGGAGAGACCACTGAAATCAGCACAGGTCTCTAACCAAAGTGTGTGTGTGCATGCGCGCGCGCACACACACACACATGCACAAATCATAAAAACACTAGCATTGTTTTAGAAGACACATCTAATTTCAAAAACTGTAAAGAAATATATAAAATAAAAAGGGTTGTAAAAATGTATTTAGTTTTGTGGAAGAGGATATAAGAAAGTTTTGATGCTACTGAATGTAGAGACAACTAAAAAACACAAATATTGTGCAGAATTCTGTAGTAAGCTTTTTCAAGCAGAGCTTGAGGCCAAGTTGAGAAAAAAATGCATGTTGGGTGATTGGTCACTTGTCACTGTGTACAACACTGTCTCCCCCAGCAGCTTCCTGTGTACTTTGCATTAAACCACTGTTAACTAGTGGAGCAAAATATTAATATGCCAGACAAATTCACATGTATTAAGTTGACTTCTATGAACAAACTGATTCATATTACAGGAATATGGCATATTACAGAAGACATTGCATTTGTTACATCATTTCTCCAGGCATCATGGTTAAAATACTATGTAGTCCTTTTTGTGTGTTAGCAATAACAAAAACTATTACTAAGCCAGAATTGTCACTTAAGTCTTTGGTTATTTAAAGGGATGCAGAGCCTCTAATAACATCACACTTTCTAAGATGTGTAAACTACTGTTCACCACTTTGCCATTACTCTACTTGGCAAGCCAGCCATGTTGATGAATTTGTTTTTGATGATCCAAGGTTAGCCTCTCCAATATGATAACCACTAGGCCATTGTGGCTACTGAGTACTTGCAATGTGCCTAGTTCAAATTAAGATGAGCTGTAACCACTGGATATATTCTTGAGGGGGGATAAGTAGTTTTTCTTCTCAATAAAATTAAGTATTTAATTTAGCTAATTTGAATAAATGGATTATTTTCAACACATTCAGAACACCCTAAGAATTTCAATAATATAATCTACTAAGTTATAACTGTCTAGACCAGCAGTTCTCAACCTGTGGGTCATGACCCCTTTGGGGGTCAAACGACCCTTTCACAGGGGTTGCCTAAGACCATCAGAAAACACATATATAATTACATATTGTTTTTGTGATTAATCACTATGCTTTAATTATGTTCAATTTGTAACAATGAAATTGGGGGTCACCACAACATGAGGAACTGTATTAAAGGGTCGCAGCATTAGGAAGGTTGAGAACCACTGGTCTAGACCTACTTTGAGCAAAGAAATACATTAGGTATGTTTCTCTTTTATATGACTTTGCTCTTCCAATGATAAACTATTATCTTAAAATTTATATACTATAACCTAGCCTTTTCCTTACTCATAATTAATAGTCTTATTTTTACTTTGAATAAAAGGCAATTTCAATTTATAATAAAATCTTTAAAGAATAAATTAATGCAAATTATCACAGGATTAGCTAAAACATTTTTTTTAATAGTAAAAGTTTTCTTAAGAAGATTATTTTAAAATTCTAATTATATTTAATTCCTGAAGAGGACTATTTCACTCTAATCAATGGTATTCAACATTTTCTCTATTATGAAGGATCAGAAGACAGAAAAGAGACCCACAAGTAGACAGCCAGATCATACAAATCAATGCTGGTGATGAATAAAGAGGTAGACACTGTCTTCATAATTTAGGCTTAAGAATCTATATGACAATTTCAAAGGAAGATTATTAATGAGCATAGTTTTCCTTTTTATCTTCTTCTTCTGGGTTCTAACATTCTTTGACAAAGGTCAATTAAAAAGTAAAGAAAAGTTTTGTTTTGTTTATTTTTAAAAATCAAGGACATAAAACCCGGCCCTAACTATAAGCCTAAGCAGGATTTTTCAAGGAATATTATTCTGTTCCTCTAATTCTACACTTGAGATTTACTACTAACAACACATTCATAATTTACTTAGCAAAAGCTTTTAAGTGTAATAAATTTTATTGTTTCATATTGCAGCTGATAAGGACAATTATTTTTAATTTGAATTAGAGAGTAAGATCAATAGCAAGATTTCTGATAGAAGAAATTACTTAAATCACATAAGTTAGGAGTAAGAAACACAAAACCATGCACTCCTACTAAATGGGCTAGATAATCTATATATATAAAAGCCTAAGTGACCGGCTGACTGTTTGACCTTCTTTCTGGTAGCT